GGAGGGAGAGTGGGAGTGAGAGAGAGAGATTTTCCATCTGTTGGTTCACTCTCCAAATACCCACAACAATCAGGGTTAGTCTAGGCTGAAGCCAGAAGCCTAGAACTCCATCCAGGCCTCCCATGTGGGAAGGGACTCAAGTACTTGTGCCTTCACCTGCTGCCTCCCAGGATGTGCATAGGTAGGAAGCTGAATCAGAAGCAGAGTAGCTGGAACCAGAACCAGGCCCTCTGATATGGGGTACAGGTATCCCAAGCAATGATTTAACTGCTGTGTCAAATTCCTAACCCCATGTTTTATTCTTATGGAACCATAAAGTCTTGGGTCTTCAGTGGTTCTAGTTTAATTTATTTTCTTTTTCTTTTTTTAAAATTTATTTATTTGAAAGAGAGAGAGAGTGAGAGACAGAGAAAGAAAGATCATCCATCCTCTGGCTTACTCCCCAAATGGCCACATAACAACCAGGGCGGGGCAAAGAGCCTGGAATTCCATCCAAGTCTCCCAGGTGGGTGGTAGGGCCCCAAGTAATTGGACCATCTTTTGCTGCTTTCCAAGGCACATCAACAGGGAGCTGGGTTGGAAGTGAAGCAGTGGGGACTTGAACCAGCACTATTATGGGATGCTGATGATACTAAACTGCTGCTCCACAATATTGGCCCCAATTTTATTTATTTTTTTAAAGATTTATTTATTTATTTGAAAGTCAGAGTTACACAGAAAGAGGAGAGGCAGAGAGAGAGATCTTCCATCCGATGGTTCACTTCCCAATTGGCCCCAATGGCCGGAGCTGTGCCTATCGGAAGCCAGGAACCAGGAGCTTCTTTCAGGTCTCCTACATGGGTGCAGGGGCCCAAGGACTTGGGCCATCTTCCACTGCTTTCCCAGGACATAACAGAGAGCTGGATGGGAAGAGGAGCAGCCAGGACTAGAACCGGTGCCCATATGGGATGCCGGTGCTTCAGGCCAGGGTGCTAACTCACTGCACCACAGCACCAGCCCCCCAATTTTAATTTCTTATTTGGATCTCCTGAATCATTCAGGTACTTGGCACACTACTGAGTGTCTCCAATTCTTTTAGGTTGCTTTTTATTGCCTACCAGGAAGACTGTGTTTTCCAAGGCCAGAAAATAGTTCTTTTTCTCATTCCCTTCTCATCAAGGGGCAGTTGTTTAGGGCCCACAGCCTTATTTAGAAGTTTGGGTCTGAGCCTCTCTTCTAGTACTGGAGGTCACTCCTGCTGTGGGACTGTAATGCCTGCGGTCATTCCAGAAACCCCGTGGGCACCCTTTTCATCATCTTTCTCTGCTGACATGTCATTTCTAGCTTCTGGGATTTCCCCTGGTCCCTTTCAAGCTTGGAAATGTATTACAAATGCTGCTTGACTTACTGTAGGGTATGTTTAAATAAACCCATCGAAATTTGCAAATGTAAGTTGAAAATGCACTGAACACACCTGAACTATCGAATGGCCTAGTTTAGCAACACAGCACACTGTGGAGTACCAATTGGTTCCCCTCGTGATAGTGGAACTGACTGGCAGTTGCAGCTCCCTGTGGCCAGCCAGTATCAGGAGACACTAACAGACTGCATATCCCTGGCCCAAGAGAAGATCAAATTTCAAAATTTGGGGTATGATTCTACTGAATTGTACTGCTTTAGCACCACCATAAAGTTGAAAAATTATTGAAGCTAACTATAGTAAATAGGGGACCTTCTGTAATTACTTCCTGGGTATTCTCTTTCATACAGCATTTCTTGCGTTTATGACAATACACATCGTGACACATTGCTAGACATAATTCTTCCTTATATCTCCCTTTCAGCAAAGAGAGAAAGCCTCAGGGTGATAGCCCAGGGATCTCTATCTTGAATTCAATGGCATTGTTTTATTTTTTCTGTTTAACTTTTGTGACATTCATTTCAGTTGAGTGAATTCAGTTTCTATATACATTAGTGATTAAATTATTTTAAAATAACTTACATGGATTTAAAGAAAAAAATTAATAAACTGAAAAGTGATGGTTATGACAAAAATCATAAAGGTCATGTATTTTTGTTTTGTTTTAAAGATTTATTTATTCAAAATGTGGATAGATTGGAGGGTCAGAGAGAGAGAGAGAGAGCGATTTTCTATCTGCTGGGTCACTCCCCAAATGCCCACAACAGCCAGGGCTGGGCCAGGCTGAAGCTAGGAGCCAGAAACTTGATCTGGATCTCCCACATGGATGGTAGGGGCTCAAATACTTTGGAGATCATCCACTGCCTCCTCAGGCACATTGCAGGAAGCTAGATCAGAACTGGAGTAAGCAGGACTGAAATTGGTACTCCACTATGGGACACTGGCATCGTAAGTGGTGGTTTAACCTAAACCTGGTACACCACAACACTGGTATCAAGGTGATGTATTAATACCCAAGCTTGTGGACTTCTTTTTTTTAACTTTTATTTAATGAATATAAATTTCCAAAGTACAGCTTATGGATTACAATGGCGTCCCCCCCCCATAACTTCCCTCCCACCCATAACCCTCCCCTCTCCCGCTCCCTGTCACCTTGCTTGTGGACTTCTTAAGAGCATTGAATGTATTTATCTTTTTACAGATTTATTATTTATTTATTTTCTTGAGAGGCAGAGAGACAGAAAGGTCTTCCATACATTGGTTCACTCCTCAAATGGCTGTAATGGCTGGAGTTGGACCAGTCCGAAGTCAGGACCCAGGAGCTTCTTCTGGGTCTTCCACGGAGCTGGTGCAGGGGTCCAAGCACTTAGGCCATCTTCCGCTGGGTGCTGGATCAGAAGTGAAGCAGCTGGGACTCAGACTGGTGCCCATATGGATGCTGGTGCCACAGGTGGAGGCTTAACCTGCTACACCAGAGTGCCAACCCCCTCAGCTTCGCTCCCCATTTGCTACAACGTTCTTTCATGCTTTAGCAACCCAGAGAAGAATCTGTGTACATCAATAAGAGTCTAGGTTGAGACATGAAAATAGGTTATTCAAATTAAGAACTGAAAGTTTGAGCCTAGTGTGAGTCAGATACTCCCTTAAAAGAGTCAATATTAGAGGTACAGTCAGAGTGGGCTAGATAGATGAAGATGTAGTAATAAATTACCACTCTATCTCAGGGGAAAACACAATAAAATTCTGTTCTTGCTTACCCCGCCCCCACCCCCGCCAATGAGCTTTACCCAATAACCATCCATCAAGGTGGGCAGAAGACGTGGGCCTGCTATGCTTGCTCTTGAGTTCTCTGCCCAGGGGGCACATCTGCCACTTCCACCCTTTTCATCAGCCAAAGCAAGTCACGTGGCCACACTCATTTCCAAGGGAGCTGGGAGGTGTGAGATTACCACACACCCAGAAATACTGGTGAAGAACAGTAGTGTTACCACACCAGCCAGCAAAGAAACCATGGCACAGCTCTGACAGCTCCTCTAGGTGGAGACATGCAGCTGGTTCATCCATGGTAGAATCAGACTTGTGCCCACAGCTCCCTCGACTTTGTTAGCTCCATGCTGTGCACCGGGAACTTCACAGTAGTGGCTACCGAGGAGGAAGGTCAAACTGCCTTATTCCCACTGGAGTGATAACGGACCTTGAGGTACTTCCACTGCTGATCATACAATTGCTGTTCTCCTTAATCACCAGCTACTCTGTTTGGCTACTTCCTTCCTACAAATGGAAGATGTGACAGTGTTACTATTCTTGGGTCAATTAAGATGCTGCTTGGGAAGCCTGTATCTCATATTGGAGTGCCCAGGTTGGCGTCCTGGCTCCTTTGCCAATTTCAATTTCCTACTGATGTGCAACCAGGGAGGCAGCAGATGATGGCTCAGGTAGTTGAATCCCTGCCTCCCTGGTGTACATGATGTCCATGATATTGATGTTCATGGTTCTTACTCATAGTCACCGTAAAAAGGCTTTATTCTAAGTCGGGACCACTACATGTACTTGTTTACGGGCAAAGGACAACTTCCCCTCCACCTTCTGAAGTTTCTCTGGAATAAACTGACCAGGGTTGAATAGGACAAAAAGGCATACAAATTTATCAATGAGCGAAAGGAATGAATCACAGCACAGGCAAATATCACATGAGTGTGAATACTCAGTAACTCAGTATCAGAAACTTAAATACCCCTGTTTCTGTGGGGAGAACAAAGGAATGTCAGGAAAACAGCAAATGATCTTTAGGTACAATCAGTGGGTTTGGAAAACAGAAATGGGACTTAAGGACAAAGTCCCTTTGGCCCACAGAACACACAATGATTTGTAAATGATTCTCTTTGGGATCAAAATAGAAAACAATGGGATGTGTCGAAAGTGTGCCCAGTTGCGTTGACCCAGTCTTTCTTCTTGTGATAGAACTGAGTTAATAAAAACTCAGGGAAGGCATCTTCTTCCTCGGCATGCAGACTTAGGCAGACAAGAAGATACCAGAAGAAAGCCTGTTTCAGCATTTGCTGAATGTTCCTTTAATTTAAAATAATTGGCATTTCAGGATCCCACTGTCGGGGGTGACGATGCCTGGACTTCTTGGCTTATATCATGTGAGCTGATAACGTTATCCTAGAACCTCTGAATTTCCTATTTATTTATTTTTGACAGGCAGAGTTAGTGAGAGAGAGAGACAGAGAGTTATAGACAGTGAGAGAGAGAGAGAAAGGTCTTCCTTCCGTTGGTTCACTCCCCTAATGGTTGCCACGGGCCGGCCCTGCGCACCGATCTGAAGCCAGGAGCCGGGTGCTTCCTCCTGGTCTCCCATGCAGGTGCAGGGACCAAGCACTTCGGCCATCCTCCACTGCACTCCCAGGCCACAGCAGAGAGCTAGACTGGAAGAGGAGTAACTGGGACTAGTACCCAGCGCCCCAACCGGGACTAGAACCCGGGGTGCCTGCACCGCAGGTGGAGGATTAGCCTAGTGAGCCATAGCACCGATCTGAATTTCCTTTTCACAGAAAACAGTATCTCACAAAGATTTTACTCTTTGTCTGCTCTTTTTCAGACTTCTGTCAGAGGATGTAGGAATGGACAGCCCCTTTGAAGCGGGAATGCTGAGTCCCAACGCCGCAGACATGAGGCCTGGTGAGAAGAGCATGTGTTTGCTTCCTTCCCTGGCATTCATACCCCAACACTGTCGTTGTTCAGTGCAGGGAACATCTCCTGGGTATCCAATTTGGGATTTCAGTGATAAAAGAGAAGGGGAACTCACAGGTGTCAGAGATGTTAGGCTCAAGTTGTTAATGTTGGAGTTAACTAGAATTTATAGTCACTTATGTGTACCACATTTTATCTCCTGGGCTGCAAGGTTATCTGGCAATGTTTTTAGTGCCTTTGATAACTAGCTATTCTATGTCATAATACCTAATTTTGACTAATGACCTAAATCTAACGATCAAATTTACACATGATTGTGAGAATGTTTAAAAGTGGAATGATCACTCTCCTAACTGTGAAAAAAACAAACCAAAACAACCTTATACTATAAAGGTATATTTATTTATTTTTAAGATTTATTTATTTGAAAGGCAGACTCACAGAAATAGGAGAAACAGAGAGAGATACAGAGAGATCTTCCATCAACTGGTTCACTCCCCAAATGGCTACAACAGCCATTTGGGGCCAAGCTGAAGCCAGGAGCCCAGAACTCCATCTGATTTCCATCATCCGCTACCTTCCCAGGTGCATTAGCAGGAATCTGGATTGGAAGCAGACTAATTGATACTTGAGCAAGCACTCCAGTATGGAATGGTGGTATTGCAAGCAGTGGCTTAACCCACTGTGCCACAATGCTGGCCCCCACTATAAGGGTTTAAATACAAGGCACACACAAAAAGAAATATTAAATTCTCTGTTGCAATTTACATGACTCTCATTTTGTATTAGACTCATTCCTTTGCTCTGCACCAACTTAGGGTCAGGCCAAGCTCCTGGGCCATCTCCCTAGCCTAGACTGATGGGTCTAGGCTAGGGAGAAGGGAGGTAATTAAACTTGCTTTCTGTCCTACTATTTAAGGTGCATAGTTTAATAATTAATCATGTGACATACTTATTTTTACATGTTCTGTGGCCAAGTAAACTTGATGACTTTATGTCTCTCCTATCTTCAAGATTCACAGAGAACTTCTGAGAATAAAGGCACTAAGGCTGTAGTTATCCTATGTGGTAGTAGCTAGTCACATGTGGCTATTTAAGTTAATTAAAATTTTAAAATTGAATTATTTAATTTCATTTCAAATGCTTAATAGCCATATATAGAACATTTCAGTCTTCACAGAAAGTTCTTTTGGACATCATTACTCTAAGAATTCCTATGATATAGAAATCCAGTGGTTTTTTTTTTTTCAAACTTATTGTTCAGTTGAAAGTTATTTTCAAGTAATATGTAAAAATATTATATGGAAACAATTTTGGATATGGTCTCTCCAGAAAAGGAGAATCTTAACGATAAAAGAACAGTGCTAGATCCCTTAGGACATAGCCAGAGTTAGAATACCAGAGTTGAAGGGTATAACAGATGACTTTTGAAAAACTGTGTGCCATTCCTGGCGCTGTGGCTCACTTGCTAATCCTCTGCCTGCAGCGCCGGCATCCCATATGGGCACCAGGTTCTAGTCCCGGTTGCTCCTCTTCCAGTCCAGCTCTCTGCTGTGGGCCGGGAGGGCAGTGGAGGATGGCCCAAGTGCTTGGGCCCTGCACCCGCATGGGAGACTGGGAGGAGGCGCCGGCTCCTGGCTTTGGATCAGTGCAGCACTAGCCGTGATGGCCATTTGGGGAGTGAACCAATGGAAGGAAGACCTTTCTCTCTCTCTCTCACTGTCTGTAACTCTACCTATCAAATAAATAAATAAAAAGTCTTTAAAATAAAAAAGAAAACATTTTAAAAAAGAGAAAAACTGTGTGCCAAGAAATTCTGTCATTTATGTTTGTAGGTGAAGAGAGCACACTCTTTTCTCCTACTCTTCTCTCACACAGTACACTTCTGTGATGAGATGTGTAGGGAATTTTTCTTATACACCAGAAAATTTGGCAGGGGACACAAACTGGGTATCCTATAATTCAATTCAATTCTGACAAAGTCTACTTGGATGCCCCTTCAGATGACTTCCAACTATGCCACACCTCTTAAAAGTTCTCAATATCAGAGCCAGCACTATGGTGTAGTAGGTAAAGGTGCTGACTGTAATGCTATAATCGCACGTGGGCACCAGTTCGAGTCCCAGCTGTACAACTTCAGATTCAGCTTCCTGATAATGGCCTGGGAAAGCAGTGGAGGATGGACCAAGTACTTGGGTTCCTGCCACCCATGTGGGAGACTCTAAGAAGCTCCTGGCTCCTGACTTTGGCCTTGTTCCAGGGCTGGCCCTTATTGCCATCTTTGGAGTAAACCAGAGGATGGAAGATCTCTGTCTCTCCTTCTTTCTCTGACTTTCAAAAATAAAGAAATCTTAAAAAAAAAAAAAAAAAGTTCCCCAAATCACCACCTGGGACCAAGCTCCCAATACATGAACCTTTGAGAGGACAAACAACATCCAAACCATAGCAACTAGACTATGCATGATTGATTGCTAGTTCTATCTCTAGGTGAAAAATTCATTTGCCATTTGTGATACTTGCAGCTGAGATAGTTATTAAAAGAAGTTAATGATTTTGCAGCCTGGGCCCAGTTCAAAAGTTTATAGAACTCAAATGTTCATGTTCCCAGGTAGCAGCTGGATATGTCCGTAAATCTTGGTCCCTCCCTCAATGACTTCTTAACTCCATCTTGAAATGCTTGTAAATGTTGTTTTTTGTCATGATTTTCTCTTGGAGTTCCCATTTCTCTATTTTGGTCATGGTCAAGAAGCATCAATGATCGATCTTTGGATCATGCATCTATTTTATATAAGTCTGGTACTTCAGAATTGGAAAGGCTCATTCCCAGGAAGTCATAGCTCATAAAGAATGGGAAGAAGTGACTATAGATACAGACATTGAGGCCACATTTCAGAAACAAGGAGGTAGTCAGAGAGCAGGGCTTAGGCAATACAGCAGTACTTTTCACTGGAGTTTTTCCAATAAGGATGATCAACTGCTTCCAGTTGATGTACAATCATTATTCTGGTAGGAAAATTAATTAAACAATGAGTTATACATCATAATAAAACATTATACAAAGTACAAGCAACAGTAAGAATACCAAGGAACATAAATAACATCATAATGGATCCAAGTACTTGAGCCATCACCTGCTGCCTCACAAAGTGTGCATTAGGAGGAAGCTGGAATCAAGAGTGGAGTCAAAATTCAAACCTAGGCACACTGATATGGGATGCAGTCATCTTAACTGCCAAACCAAACACCCAGTCCGCAAACAGGCTTTTAAGGTTATTATAGAGGAACAAGACTTGATGATATATATTGTTTTATTGTTTATATATTGTTTTATTGATCTATTTAGTATTTATAGTATTTATATATTGTTTATATATTGTTTTATTGATCTATTTAGTATTAAAATGTTGCTTCTAATATAAGGAGATCTTGGAACTTAATTGTCTATAACCAGAGGCAAGCCATATCTCTCCATTCTATAACTGGGTGATAGTTCTTCCTAACAGGTGGAGAAAATCATCCTTGGGTGTTTGTTCTGCCCTTTTTAATGATGATCTTCTGGGATCATCAAATGAAAATAAAAGACTATGTCCAAGATGATTGAGAATTTGATTATGGGCCAGTTAAAGAGATCTCAGCTAGTAATTTCAGAAAACTGTAAAACAGAAGAATGGTTTCTTCCAACAATATATAGCTTCTTAGTGTTCTCCAGAAATTCTCTTATTATAGGGTATCCACTAGGAAAGTCCAGGAGAGCTGGCTGTGGGTAATGGCCACAAATTCAACAATTGGATTTGTTCTCAAAGTTAGTAAATGACTGAGCCCTTTGAAGAAAAATTAGAATCAAAGTTTTCAGAATGTTGCAATATATAAAGAAAGAAAAATATTATATATACCATATATATTATACCTATCATATGTACATATCTCCCAGGTCTTACTTCCTGGGAGATCTGCCGACTTCTGATGTCATCCACTTAGTTTTTTCAGGTATGGATGAGTTATTTGCTAGGCATCTTTGAATTTTAATTTGATATAGCCAGTGTTCTCACAGATCATTCATGTAGGGTAGCTTTCTTTAATTGAGAAACCTAAGTCCATGAGTTAATTACTTTTAGTTTAGCAATACACAACTTAGTTAACAAACGTGGAAGGCGCCTTTATGAAAGTGGCACTTCAACACACACGATCACCAGGCTAAGATTGTGTGTTGTTGTTACTTCATATCTCGGGAGAATGCTGTGGAAAGATTGCTCTGCAAATTGTGAATTAGCTTTGAGGGCCTTCCTTAGCTCCTGACAATAAGTAGGAAGGTTGCTTCTTATCATAGCATATTCATATAGTCCTTCAGCTAGTCTCATAGACATACCAGTAACTATTCTAAAGGGTTGCAGCTTGCTTCTGCCTGGGGAAGTGGGTCTAAGTGACACCAAAGGCAGAGCCTTAGATTAGGGAAAATTGGAGATTTCTATTAATTTTGCAAATGGAAGTTTATGATTCCACTAGTGCATTCCATTAACCTTGAGGACTGAAAACAATATGCATACTGAATATGCTGGGAAACAGACAAAATTTGCAAAGGATTGAACTATTTGCACAGTAAAATGCAATAATCTGAAGCTATACAGTTCACTCCCCAAGAAGGAATAATATTTATTTTTGAGGTCTTAGGAATTTAAATTTGGGAAAACAGATTCAGATAGCTCTGAATGAGTGCTCTGAAGAATCTCAGGTTGTACAGTGTGGTGGAATGAGAATTTTTTTAAAAGATTTATTTATTTATTTATTTATTTATTTGAAAGGCAGAGTTACAAAGAGGCAGAGGCAGAGAGAGAGAGAGGTCTTCCATCCGCTGATTCATTCCCCAGATGGCCACAAAAGCTGGAGCTGCACCAATCCAAAGCCAGGAGCCAGGAGCCAGGAGCTTCTTCCAGGTCTCCCAAGTGGATGCAGGGGCCCAAGGACTTGGGCCATCTTCTACTGCTTTCCCAGGCCACAGTGGAGGGCTGTATCGGAAGTAGAGCAGCCAGGATTCGAACCGGCGCCCATATGTAGCTTTACCTGCTACACCACAGCACTGGCCCCTGTACAGGGCTTTTAAAGGGAAGGAGAAGCTGAGGATAAAGGAAATCCCACACATTACATGAAAAGGAAGAAGGCTGGCAGAAAAGTTGTTCTGTGCATCACTAGGCGATACATGATTGATTGCTAAGGCTAGCCCTAGGTAACAAGTTCATTTGTCATTTGTGACAATTGCAGCTGCAATATTAAGTAAACAGTATTAATGTCTTTTGCAGACTTGGCCTAGTTCAACAGTTTACATTTCCATGCTCAGTTCAAAAGTTTGCATTCTCAGACTGAAGCCTGATAATGTGCACAAGTCCTAGTTCTTTCATGGCCTCCCAACTCCATTTCAAAATACTCTTTAAATGTTGCCTTTTGTCCTGATTTTCCTCTAGATTTCACACAAGGTATGGAGTAAAGGGTGTAGACTTTCCATGGCCTTTCCAAGGGTGCTACACTCCCAGCACCCCCAATGTATCCATCAACCTGAAAGATTTTCAAACTTTGTTGTTCAAGAGTTTTTATTGAGGTTAATCTCTAACCTCCCACCTCTATCCCAGAGGTCAGTGAGTGCGACTGGAAGTTCCAAACCTCTGGTCACTGGTTTTGTTGTTGTTGTTGAACAGCCCCACCTAGAAGTTACCTGGGGGTCCCATCCTATGTTACCTCATTACCAGAAACTCAGGTGAAATCCAAAGGAGCTTGTTATGAGTAACAAAAGACATTCCTATCACTTAGAAAATCCCAAAGGCTTTAGGAGCTAGGAGCCTGGAACCAGAGACTGAGACCAAATATGCTGCATATGACTTTAGATTAGGTTATCTCTACTTTTGTTTGGTTTTGATAAACTTGGTTATAAACTGCTTTTCCAGCTCTACCTCTGTTAAAGGAAACACATGTGAACAGCAAGAGACACACCACAGTGAAAGGATGGGCGCTCTGTATGTAAATATTAACATAAGATTGCCACTTATGGGAGTCAATTTCAAGCGATATTGGCCTCAGAGGTAGTGCCTGGAGTGAGCAGTAAGCCTAGCGGTTAAGGTGCCCACATCCCACATTGCAGTGCCTGAGTTCTCTTCCTGGCTCTGGCTCCCCACTCCAGCCTCCTGCCAGTGCAGATCCTGGGAGGCAGCAGTGCTGGCTCAAGTGATTGGATTCATGAGTTAAGTTCTTGGCTCCCAGCTTCAGCCCTGATTCAGCCCGAACCACTGCAGTCATTTGAAGAGTGAACTTGTGGTTTGAAGCTCTTTCTGTCACTTTTTCTGTCCCTCAAATAAATGAAGGAAAAGAGTTACTGACTGCTGTTACAGATTCAAAGAATGTGACCTGGGAGAATACCTCAGGTTTTATTAACAAAACAAACAAACAAACAAACAAAAAAGGCCATCCAAGGAAAGGTCACTGAGATTATATATGGAATTGTCAGGACTTGAAGAGAAGTATTCTGGGAGGAACTATGAACACAGAAGATACAATTCTCTCTCTCTCTCTTTTTTTTTTTTTTAAAGATTCATTTATTTATTTGAAAGAGTTACAGACAGAAGGAAAGAGAGAGAGAGAGAGAGAGAGAGAGATGGATCTTCCATCCACTGTTTCACTCCCCAGATGGCCGAAACAGCCAGAACTGTGCCAATCCAAAGCCAGGAGCCAGGAGCTTCCTCTGGGTCTCCCACCTGGATGCAGGGGCCCAAGTACTTGGGCCGTCCTCCGCTGCTTTCCCAGGTGCATTATCAGGGAGCTGGATCAAAAGTGGAGCATCCAGGACTCGAACTGGCGCCCATATAGGATTCTGGCATTGCAGAGATAAAATTCTTTTTTTTAATAACATGTTTATTATGCTAATTTCTTTGTGTCTAACTTCTAAGATTCTGAACAACATTGGTAAGACATTTTGTAATTGATAAAATCATTTTTAAATAATTTTCACATGCCAGGATCTATTCTAAACACTTCACCTGTATTAATTTGGTTTTCATGACAAATATATATATGGTACACACTATTATAATTCCTGACTTACCCAAACGGAAACTGATTGATAGAGATTTTGTTTTGTTTGTTTTATTTAAAGTATACAAATTTCATGTATTTTTATATTCAGATTTAGGAACCTGGTGATACTTCTCTATACTTCCTCCCATCGACGGTTGTACCCTTCTTCCTCCTCCCTCTCCTATTTCCACTCTTAATATTTACCAAGATCTATTTTCAGTTTACTTTATACTCATATTATTAACCCTACACTAAGTAAAGAGTTCAACAGACAGTATAAAAAAAAAAAAAACCCACTGTTCCTCAGCAGTAGAGACAAGGGCAGTAAATGATTATCGAGTCTCAAAATGTCAGTTTCACCCCACTACTTTACATTTTAGGTACTCTATCAGTTTCCACAGATCAAAGAAAACATATGGTATCTGTCTTTCTGGGACTCGCTTATAATTTTTAAAAATATTTATTTATCTATTTATTTGAAAGTCAGGTTTACACAAAGAAGAGGCAGAGAGAGAAAGAGAGAGGTCCTCCATCCACTGTTTCACTCCCCAGATGGCCGCAACGGCCAGAACTGTGCCAATCTGAAGCCAGGAGCCAGGAGCTTCCCCTGGGTCTTCCCACCTGGATGCAGGGGCCCAAGAACTTGGGCCATCCTCCGCTGATTTCCCAGGCAATAGCAGAAAGCTGGATCGGAAGTGGAGCAGCCAGGACTCTAACCGGTGCTCACATGGGATGCCAGCACCACAGGCAGCGGCTTCACCCGCTATGCCATAGCACCTGCCCAAGGGACTGGCTTATAATTCTTAACCTCTGCTCCACAGGAGCAAAGTCAACACACACTATTAGAAAATGTATGCATATGTTGGCTTAATTGTTTTTCTTTAGTAATATACCCCCTACAAATTCAATTTAATATCAGAGCAATATCAAGTTCTCAAACCTGAATGAGGAAGTTCTACAAACTAGTTTTCTACCCATTTAGCAATAGCTCTTGCTTCCTGTCTCCATCAGCCAGAGCTGAATGGTCTAGCAGAAGCCAGAGGCCCGCTGTCCGGAAGGGGGTCCAATCACACAGAAGGGAGTGTAACAAGTCTATCTCTTCTGAAAGGGCCTTACAAATGTGTTTTTCACTGGGGCCCAAATCTGCCCTTGGCAGCCATGCTTATGGCCTAGTACTTGATGTTACCATTCCTTTTCTTCTTTAGAACCTCCCAGTTCTTTGGATCTTAACAGCAGTCATCCTCGGAGAATCAAGCTCACAGCCCCGAATATCAACCTTTCTCTGGACCAAAGTGAAGGGTCGGTTCTCTCCGATGATAACCTGGACAGTCCTGATGAGATTGACATCAACGTGGATGAGCTCGACACTCCTGATGAAGCAGATTCTTTTGAGTACACTGGCCACGGTAAGCCCATAAGCTTGGCAAAGCCAAAGTGAAATGATGAGTGGAAGATCATCTGACTGGTAGCAGGAGCAAGTCCCACCCCTCCTCATTCTTGTGCCAGTGGCTCCTTTCTACGATTTCTAGCTTTTGTTTGTATTTCTTGCCTGACAGTTTGGGGCAGGCTTGGTTCACAGAGGTCACACGGAAGGCTGGCTGTATTATCAAACCCCTACTCTGTACCAGGTCTTGTGCCAGGCACTTGGAGTAAGGGGAAGAAAGCTGTGAGATGCTGTGTTGTAAAAAAACTGGAGCTGCAGTCAAATGCTCTACCTCTGAGCTATACCCCCACACCCTATGAGAGTATTTTAGGCATGGAAAGCTAAGACAATCTGGCAAAAAAATATATATATACCTAAATGAAAGATCTCTGCGAGTGAGATCTTTGCGAGTGAGAACGGGCCATCAAAAAAGGAGGTACCTTTCTCTGAAGGGAGGAGAGAACTCCACTTTGACTATGACCTTGTCTAAATAAGATCAGAGTTGGCAAACTCAAAAGGCTTCCTTAACCTTGGCAACTCATGACAACAGCCTAGGGTGATTACTGACGCATAAATAAGAGTGTCAAATAGTTAAGTCAACAACAGGAGTCACTGTGCACTTACCTCATGTAGGATCTCTGTCCTTAATGTGTTGTTTACTGTGAAGTAATGCTATAACTAGTACTCAAACAGTATTTTACACTTTATGTTTCTGTGTGGGTGCAAACTGTTGAAATCTTTACTTAATATACACTAAATTAACCTTTTATATATAAAGATAATTGAAAATGAATCCTGATGCGAATGGAATGGGAGAGGGAATGGGAGATGGGAGGGGTGCAGGTGGGAGGGAAGTTATGGAGGGGGAAAGCCATTGTAATCCATAAGCTGTACTTTGGAAATTTATATTTATTAAATAAAAGTTAAAAAAAAAAACTGGAGCTGGATTTGCAGGAGAGAATTGAGCCTAGAAGATAAAATTTGAAGAAGAGAGGTCAAGGCTTAATAATTTCTTTGCAGACACCTGCACTCTCTGGAATGTTCGGTCCCCCAGATTCTTACATGACTGGCTCTCTCTCTCTTTATTCCGACCGTAGTCAGAAGTGACCTCCTCAGAGAGGACTTCCTGTACTTCCGGAATCAAAAGTGCTTCCCACCTCCCTGCTATCATCAACCTGTCACTCCCAATCCTTTATTTATTTCCCACATATCACTAGCTGAAATTTTATTGTGTAACTATTTGTTTGCTTGTTTGTTTACAGGTTTATTATCTTTCTCTTCCAGCTAGAATGTATGTTTCATGAGGGCAGGAACTTTGTTGTATTTGATGCTTTATCTCCAATCAAGTTTGAAAGAAGAAAGGATAGGGTAGGCAGAAAGCGGAATGGATTCAAAGAAAATAAAAGTTACATGATCAAAGACTGACATTCCTGATATGAATATCAGTCTCACTTTAGTTCTTTCTCTCTCTGTCTCCCTTTCTCTTTTAAAAGATGTATATATTTATTTGAAAGGCAGAGTTACAAAGAGAAATATTTTCCTTCCTCTAATTTACTCCCCAGTTGGCTGCAAAGGATAGGGTTGAGTCAAGCCAAAGGTAGGAGCCAGGGACTTGGACCATCCTCTGCTGCCTTCCTGGGCCACAGCAGAGAGCTGGACTGGGAGAGGAGCAACTGGGACAGAATGCGGGGCCCCAACCGGGACTAGAACCCTGGGTGCTGGCGCCGCAGGCGGAGGATTAGCCTAGTGAGCTGTGGCGCCGGCCTATTTGGCTTTCTCTTCAGGTCCAGATTGTTTTTTGGTACTACCAAAAGTGCCTTTAATCCTATTATTTTAATCAGAATTTGTAGAATATAATCCAGTCTTAGATGACAAATTTTTCTAATCTCTTGGGGAGAAAAGAAGTATGTGTGCATATAAAGCATTTGCTTTAAACAATGGCAGCCTGGAGTTTCTGTTTTATTCTTCAAAGTAATAATATTTAGAAGTGAAAGCATTGGCAGCAGGTACTTTTTTTTATTCATTATAAAAATTCTTCCAGTCTTGAAAAGCAATTCTGCAATTAAATGAAACTATGACTTCAGAGTCACACTCATGCCAGCGGTTCCACTTAGAGGAGAATATAATTAAGAATTTCATCAGCTTAACTAATTAATTCAACCAGTAGGTAGTGAGCCAGGAAGCAACAGCTGTGACCACTGTACATTTAGACCCTGCCTTCACAAGGCTTAGAGCTTTATTTCATCAACTGAAAAAATATGGAAGCAATAAATGGATTTGTTCTATAATTTTTTATATTTAAGTAGAGAGTTCATATTGCATCTTTATCATTGTGTTCATAAATTTCAATACAGTCATCCCTCAGTATCTGTCAGAGATTTGTTTCATAACCCCTGCAGATGCTAAAATTTAAGTATGCCCGTGTTTCCTAATAAGACTTCACAATATTTGAATATAATACTTTAAATTATCTCTAGAAATAAATGTTTGGTGCAGTGGCTTAAGTTGCCACTGGGGACATCCACATCTCATATCAAGTGCCTGGTTCAAGTCCTGGCTACTTCATTGCTGATCCAGCTTCCTGCTAATGTGCGTGCTGCGAGGCAGCAAGTGATGGCTCAAGTACTTGAGTCCCTGCCACCCACGTGGGAGACCCAGATGGAGTTTCTGCCTCCTGACTTCAGCCTGGCCCGACCCTAGCTGTTGTGGGCATTTGGGGAGTGAACCAGTGGGTAGAAGTTCTTTCTCCTCTCTCTCTCTCTCTTTCTATGCCTTCCAAATAAAATGATAATAAATAAATAAAATTTAAAATAAATCATTTCTAGAGTATGCATAACACCTAATACAATGTAAACATTATGTAAATAGATGTACTGTATTGTTTAGGGAATAATGACAAAGTAAAAATAAAATCAGTGTATGTTTACTACAGACACAATTTTTAAAAAGCATTTTTGATCTGTAGTTGGCTTAGGATGTGCATGAGGAAGCCATGGACATGGAGGGCTGACTTAATTATCTGGGTATTTGTTCTGGTAGATTGAAATACACCAGTAAGAAGTGAAAGAAGGTCTTGAATTCACAATGTTTTCTGACATTCCAAGAGTCTTCCCCAGTAACTACATCCACCCCAGCTGCTCTTAAAATTGTTTTTTCTCTCTTTGTCTTCCCTCCTGTTTCTGTAATTCTGCCCTACAAATAATCAAAAAATACAGCTTTAAAAAAAATTAAAGTTCATTTTAGTGCAAAAAAAGTTTGAAGTCTACACCTAGTTTTTCTGGTAATACGTATTTTTCATAAACTTTTTGAAGACCTTTTATAGGCATGGGATATTTTGCACCAAAATAAACTTCCCTTTTAATTCCAGTTTCCACTAGTTTTTTGCAGTCCCCTTGTATATTAACTTCAAGTCCCACAGAAGGCAGCTGTGGTATGACCCCACTGGTCCTCCCTCACCACTCCTCCACTTCCCTGTTGCTGGGGAGAGCTTTGTCAAACCACATCTGAATCTTTTATTTTTATAAATAGTAAGTGGTGGTAGCTGAGCAAACTAGTAATTAAAGCTGCCACTTGCTGACACTGTTCTTTTTGTTTAGTTGACACAGTTATGTTGACAGAGCTGATAGCCACAACCCTAATTTTAGGTCTTAAAGAACAGAATTTTAAACTAAATTGAATTTTAAAATTCACCTTGATTTTAAAATAAGAGGCGTATATACAGACACTGTTTTAAACAAACAAAAACATTATATATTGAAGACATGCAGTACATCTGAGCAGCTTCATTTTGTAAAAATGCAAATATAGATAAATGTGTAAGAGAGGTAGAATATAAATAATACACGTTAGTCCCAAAGTGTGAAATAAACACTTGAAAATTACATGTTTTGGGTTTTCTTCTGTGAGCATATTTTAAAAACTAATTTTTATTTATTTATTTTTACCTTTTCTAAAGGTAGACAGACAGATGGATAGACATTTCCCATCTTCTGGTTCACTCCCCAAATGCCCACAACAGCCAAAACTGGGGTAGGCCAAAGCCAGGAGCCAGGAAATCAATCTGGGTCTCCTGTGTGGGTAGTGGAAGCTCAATCGCTTGAGCCATCACTGATTGCTTCCCATGGTACACATAATCAGGAGCCCAAGGCAGCAGTGGAGCCTGGCCTTGAACCCAGACACTGATGTAGGACTCGGGCAATCCAGGTGGCGTCTTAGTCCCTACAGCCGATGTTTGCCCCATGGGTTAAGCGTTTTCAACTAGGCCAATACGTTCTCAACAAAGTTGGGGTTTTTCAGGCATGGTCTTTCAAAAGCATTTGGCCAGTAAGTTATATGAGTTAATGAAAACTTTCCCAGTGCTTACTTTATCCCAGGATCCATTCTAAATAGTAGCTCTTTTAATGCTCATGTTAATTCTGTGAAATAGCTGCTATGCTCTCCTTCATTGTGTAGGTGAGAACCCCATGTACAGAGAAGTGAAACAGTTTGCCAAAGGTCTCCCAGAGCCAGCTTCAAACCCAAAGTTTTTTGTCCTTGACTTTGGTCCGTGCTGATGAAGAAGAGGAGGAGCAAGTGTTTTACCAGATCAGGTTTTGTCCCTGAAACCAAGCGTGGTGGGACACCCTCTCATTTAGACTTCCTTCTATCAGTCATGTTCATAGCTTGAGGACTGCTCCTTTACTGTCCTCATGATGTTCATTCCATTTGCTTCTTTATTTAGTAGCCAGTGAGTAAACATTTCTGCTGGGGAATTTGTCCACAACGGGATTTTGCTTACGAGAAACTTTTAAAATCTCATTATCAAAAGATGTCAAAGTAGTCTTCACTTCTAAACAGTGTTTTTCTTTAATAGTCATGTCCGAACAGTTGGGAAATTTAACTTAAGGGACCAATATAATTAAGAGTCGCTTTTCTTTGATGTGTTGTAAACAACATGCCAAAGATTTCAGAAATGTGTAGTTTGTAAAGGACTTCAGAAGTCAG